CCCTGCTGCTTGTACGTCTACCTGTTCGTCTTCGACGCTTCTCAGCAGTTTTCTGAAGGGTTCTACACTACCAGCCAGTCCCTTCTGGAATTCATCCCGTGTCCCCTCGTCTCCCAAACGCTCTACTTTCCACCGGAACACTTTCCTCTGTTTCTTACTCTCCATCTTTCTAGATCGGTCGATGTTTGCCCATATGAGGAAGTGGTCGGTCGAACCAATATCTATCGCACTTACGTGCAGCTCTGGGATCTGCGTGCTCCCCCTATCTACCAGGATGTAGTCGAGGATTGAGTATTAATTGCAAACTGCCCGTTGCCTGGTGAACTCCGGCTTATCACATTCCCTCCTACCGTTCAACACCATCAGTTCGTTGCTTCCCAAGAATTCAAGCATCCTCACTCCGTTGTCATTCACTTTGTTTTCTCCGTGCTGCCCGATCGCCTGTCCTCTACTGGAAGCTTTCCCTACTCTGGGGGGGGCGGCTTGTTTTACAACGTCGTTGCCAAGCGACGAAAACCCAACCCCGATGGCAAACACCGGGGGGGGGGCAGCTTGTTTACAACGTCGTTGCCAAGCGACGAAAACCCAACCCCGATGGCAAACCCCGGGGGGTGGCGGGGGGGGGGGAGGGGCATTGTTTTGCCCCCGACCTGACCACCACACCCTATCCAGCCTTTATAGTCTCATCAAGGGGACTGTCGGCGATTGAGGCTGCTAATATTGATCCGGGTCCGCCCTTTGTCTTGTACCTGTCTCGCGGGACCGTTTGTATTGTCCAGTAGTAGCACAGCGAGCGATTGAAATTCTGTGTGCGTTTTGAGGGGCTTCGCTTGGAAAGCTTTCCCTCAACCGCGCTCAAGGACTGTTATTTACCACACTAGGAGGGGCAAGACTTCTGATCCCTTCTCAATGAACGATTGAAGGCAAAGCACCGCAGGAGGAATGCGAAGGACAAAAGAAGCAAACCCAGTGCTTGTCTCTTCCTGTGTGACCCCGGCTGGTGCGTGAGACATAAGCGGAAACGTGTACACCGGCACAGATGGGACGAAAACATAAACGTACACGCACTGCCAACAATGAGTCGTGAAGGGCGCTCTGATTCCTGCGGTGGGCGTCTTTGCAACGAAGGACAATTGACCCTTGTATTTGTTCATCTGTTTTACCAACTTATTTTTTTTGGGCTTTACTACCCTATCGCGCGTGACTGCTACCGGTTTCACCATCGGCACCGGTTCTGCTTTGCCCTCCCCCCAGGAGCTGGCAAAAAGCCTGAGCGAGCAGCTGCGGGAGAACGCGTCGAGCGAGAGAGAAGGCCTCGATTCGGACAAGGTGCTCCGTTCTCGAATCAACATCGTGGCCGCCTTCACCGTCCTGGGGCTCCTTTCGGTCAGCGGCTGGCAGCTGTCCCTGCTCAACAAGTTCTTTCGGTGAGATGAGGGTGGTTTGGAAGAAGGATCGTTTGTTTTGCCCGCAATGTTTTCCACAAAGACCTCAAATATTCATGTACACATGGCGTTGATATTGTTACCATCAAAATCGAAAGTGTTGGCATATCTCAGATATCAGTCAAAGACCCAGAACCATATTTCATTGTTTTCATGGCCTTGCTCAAACAGATTCTCCTGGCGAGGCACGGTGAGGGTCACTTTTCTACATGTAGTGCTGGCCTGTGAAGACGCATGCTGTGACATGCACCCGCGCTTGACAGGAAACACCAAGCGCTGGCACGGGGCATGGTGCGGCGCTTCTCCAACCAAACACGATCGCCCCACCACCGCCATGCGTGTCTCGCTCTGCAGATCGAAAAAGCTCATCTGACCCCGGGCGGGCGCTCGAAACGTTTATTGTACCGGCGCTCGGCGCTGGGTCGAGACCTACTTGGAGCTGTCACGTGGTACTCTTCTGCGACCCGTGGTTTCACACGTGGCGTGGTCTCGTTGTCATTCAGTCGGCGGCTTCGGCTGACGCGTTTGTCTGTCACTCGAACCCTGCTCTGCAGCGTCTTTGCTTTTTAGAAGTTGCCTACACGTTGAGTGCGGGGCCCGCGGGAGGCTTGGAGCAAAAGAGTACGGTTCCTGAAACGGTTGCTTGGAGTAAGGCCTTGCAGGTGTCACACCCATTGTTTTGTTTTGCTTTTCGCTTTTGCCCTGTGTGCTTGTTGTTGAACGGCACCATGCTCTCAAACGCATGCTGCAACCGCTTCGTGGTGTTGACGGCTCGGCCATTCCCTGGCCACGTCAGGCATCCAGTGTCTTGACGCTAAGCCCTTGACCTATTGGTGCCCTCTCTTGCGCAGCAGCTGTCCCCATTTAAAGCGCGAAACCGCCCCAGATACACAAGTAGCCCTTTCTTTTCTCGCTTGGGGTAAGTTATTCGTCCTTGGATTGGTTGATGCCTGTTGGTTTTGTACCGTGTTGTCGTGCAGTGTATTGAGTTGTTCGCAGTTTAGAGGGGGGGGGGGGGGG